TGATAATATTGATATTCTGTTGGAATACTGAGCAGTTGGACTTTAAATCTTGATTACAAATGGTCAGCCTATCTTTTCGCAAATGTCAAAAGGTAGCAAATAAAGTCAAGAAACTGCTTAGGAGTCACTTAAATACCTGAATAAGCACTTGATTGAGACCTAAGGATTTCCTGTCATAAAGAAGTGATTTTTATTAATAAAAAATGTTGTCTGAGAATCCATTGTTCAAACAAAATCTTAAGTGGAGATGTAAACCAAATAACACATACAGAGTTGCTCTGAGCAGAAGAAAGAATTGGACTAAATTAAGGAGCATAGTTTGAAACCAGTCTTATATAAGAGACCATGTTTTTGTTTGAAAAAGTATAAAGTAATTAATATTTGTTCAAATAGAAAACAATCTGTAGAAACAGTATGGAAGCAGGGGTTAAGACACAGAAGTTAGAGTCAGACTTGCTAGGTAGTATTAATAGTAACCTCTCTGTAAACCCATCTGCCAAATACAGAAAGTAATAGTACCTCTGCCTTATAGGACTCTTACAGGATTAAATGAGTTAATACAGTGAAGTAGTTAGAACAGTGCTTGGATCATAGTTTAGTTAAGTACTTGTTACATGAATAAGCCTCCTGTACAATATCAGGATATGTTAGCAGAACAAACTGCAATCCTCCTAGACTTGTCTAATTGAATACTATGGTGTGTGTCATCTATGGCTTTGGCATAACTCGAAGTATTTTCATGTTCACTAGTTGTACAACAGGTTTTTTGTTTTGTTTTACTTTGGTTTTTTCCTCCTAGTTTTGTACATGTCAAACTCAACTATATTCAACTTTATTCATAAAAATATTTCATTTCTATCTGGTTTTCTCTGTAGTCTATAGATAATGATACCTAATTCTGAAAGACTTTCCCCACTATCCCCAGCTTCTGACAGAGGGGTCAACTCTCTAGTTGTCCAAGCATTGCATAAACTAATACTTACCACATCTGCAATAAACTAATCACTTAACCACATCTGCAATTAGTTATGTGCATGTGAATTGGCAAAATTTCCCTCTCCACCGCTACACTATAAACTCTGCTGGGGCAGAGGCCAGCCAGCTCTGTCTTGTTTCACCACTGTTTCACCAACACCTAGCATAGTGCCTAGCACATGACAAATGCTCGATAAATTAATACATGAACTAATGTAACTAAGGCAATTGATTCATGAATAACTAATACATGAACAAAAGAATAAAGACAGTATTGCAATACAATTAAAATCCATCAATACCTACTTAGATTGGTGTCTTGTAAACAATATATTTCAATGGTATTATATTTGTTCAGCCATATGACATCAAATGTATTCACTACAAATGCTGTCACAGAGCAAAGCATCCAGATAATAAGAGTATGGCATTACCAGCTATGATGACTGATTCATGTAGCAAATATTTATTGAAGGCCTAGTATATCCTTAGCACTGAGCTAGACACAGTGCCTACAAAGATAAGCCAGTGAGAAATGATCCTTTCCTTCACAAACTGTGTCACTTGCCTGCATTTGTATGACTGGCAAGTCATTATTACATCATCTCCTTGAAAGGTATGAAGGAAATTCCTGACCACATTCTGGGTCACTCCAACCCTACAAGTCTTGGTAAAGGAATGCACCGGGCTATTAAAACAACTGGCTTTTTGCTAACACTCTATCTTGAACAGTTCGATTAGCTTTAAAGAGGCCATCTCTCCCCATCCCCATATTCCCATTTCCTGAGTGGTACCTTTTTCTCTACCTTTCCTCTCTTGTCTTACATTAGGGGAAACCCAGCTTTCATGGATAACTTCATAGGATTTATCATCTCCCATTCCTAAATTGGAAGAGAGGTGGAGAAACTGGTTTTTGGCCTGATTATGTTTTCCCATTGTTACCCTAAGTGTGAAGTTAATATGATCCATCCATTTATATATCACCCCTGGTCTTGCATTCTCCTTTAGGATTCACTTTTACCTTCCCAGATGTTTCATTGCTTACCTCACATTTTTTTCTTCCAACTCTCTATTGTTTTTCTTTGACCACATTTCCTACTGTGAGAAAGGAAACATAGGGGCCTAGAGCAGAGATTCTGGAGTCACACCACCTGGGTTTGAATCCTGACTCTACCACTTCCTAACTGTGATTACGACAGCTTAACATCTCTGGGACTTAGTTTCCTCATTTGTAAAGTGGGAGTAACAATAATACCTACATTATAAAGATTAAATAAGTTGAAAGCTGTAAAAGACTTAAATAGTCACTGGCACAGAGAAAGCTCTTTATAATGCCATCATTATCCTTGGTAACATTAATATCCATATCATTACCAATTGACTTCCAACTTCTGGCCATATTGACATCACATATAGATAGCTCCACCTTGATCCAGCGCATCACACAGCATTGCTTTGCTCTAAGATTTCAAACCTGGTATTAAGTCTTTATCTTTCTCATTCCTGAAAACTCCCAGAAGTTTCTCTCTATTCTCTTGCCTTACCTCATCAATTCTCTCCCAATTTGCCAAAACACTAGAAAAATTACTTCCCAACCTTTAATTCTCACAAATTCCTAATATGAATATTCAACTCTTAGTATAATCTTAATTTCTTCACTCTTTCTTTGAATATATACACTTAAAAGCTCTTCTCAATGCCTAGAGATCTTATTTTTCCTTTAATAACCAAAATGAGGTTCATAGCTTCTATGAGGCCTCCCCCTGTCATTCTCAAGCATACCTGTTCCAGCCCACAATCACCTCCCCTCTATATAAACACCCAAACTCACAAACCACTCAAATCTCATGCATATTACAGAAT